CATAAAATTGTAAGAAAAGGGACGCAATTCCTATAAGACGTGGCTTTTGAAAGGCAAGAAACCATCCGGCACTCGTTACATCTTTTGTAGCAGTTATTCTGAAATTGTAGCAGGCGTGCTATACAGTGGGGAGGAGGGAAACAGCGAAAGAGCGAAGTGAAACGGGAAAAACCTGCAAAAAAGCTTTTGTTCTACGCGACTCAGCTATTTCGGACGAGTTCTCCCGCTGGCATCGTGCCAATAACCGCTACGGTAGATGCAGCTGCATTTATGTACCCATACATCCATGCAGCACCGCAGCCGCTTCATATCAGTCCCCTCGCTTCATATTATACTTCGCGAATGAAGCGACACGACCATCAGCATCGGACATTTGTGGACGACGGGTGCTGTGGGCATCCGGGTCGGTATGTTGCAGCTTGATGGGGCGCTATATAAAGAGTTAAAACTTTTCTTGCTGTTAAGATATTTCGAAGATAGGAGGGCTTTCGGGATAGAGGGGCATTTTCACTTTCACTAAATTTTTTTGTTGGTTCATGATATACATCAAGAGACATGTAATCGCTTGTGATGCTGGGAAATGGTGGGCCCTCTGGTCAGAGACATTTACGGTTCTTCGCAGAAAGGCCTGTGCAACTTAGCTGAGCACCACCATGCGGTGCCCCTACCAAGCCGAACAGCGCAGATCACTTCTTTGCACACTGACGGGTAATAGCAAAACAGACTATTCCAGTAGGACAAAGAATTATATGGATGATCTATGTTATCGAAGAGCGAAAAATGATCCTGTCAGGGTGCTAAAATTAGATCTAGGAAGGATATTTTTATGGTTCACTAAAGATGATCTTAACCAAGCCAACAAGTTAAATTACACTGAACAACAACATTAATGCTCCTACAGACGGTCGGACCGAAGGACAGGAGAAACTGAGACGCCGAAAAGTGAACTTACATGTACCATACCGACCTATTTTCTAGTCATTTGACAACTTGCGACAGCTTTTTCCGTCGCAAACCATCGTTTTGCCACAGAAATTTTCAGAGAAATGTCATTCTAGATAGCTAACTAGCCGCCTTCGTGTACACTCCTTATCCTTGAGACGAAGTAGGCGTCGCATTTGAACATGGCACGAGACGGGTTTCTAGTGGAATATTTCAGTTTGAGACAAGCTGTCATTTTGTTATGCGTTGAACAAAGACATGACCACGTTTGGCTCGAAATGAGAATATCTCACCAAAATCAGAGCCACCACCACGTCTAGTTCTGCCACGCCCACCTCATGTCAGGAATTTTGGGTGTAATAGCCCACGAATTAAAAAGCGCACAATAGAATTTAGACTGGCAAGCACTGCTTATTCTTGAGATCATGACCATCCGAGTAGCTATGTTCAGTGAGAGCGAAACTGATCAGGAATCCTTGACTGCACAGCCGTTTCCCGCTGATCTACCGAGGCCTATAAAAGCGGATATATCACTTCTTCTGTCTCATATTGTCATTCCGTTTGTTGCTCTCGCTTTCATATTAGTTGAAGAACTCTATGACCTCATACCCTTCTTCGAGCTCCACATGTTAATTGCTTTGCCCGTCCAGGGATAGAGCGTTTGCGTGAAATGTTACCTCAAAGGTTAACTCTGCCCTCTGAGATGCCGCAAGTCAGCGGAGCTTGTTTGAAGTCGTGGTTTTGTACAGCTCTGATCGTCGTTCCGTTGATGAAAATAGAGCCATCTTCACCTTTTTTATGACACTCTCTTAATAACTTCACTGTGCTAGCACGCTTTTCTGCCACCGTAGGCTTTTCGTATCGCCGAGTAGTACGGTATTGCAGTAATGTTTCGCGCGGCTGTTCTCTGCTGTCTTCTCGCAGTCATCTGCGCACAGACATCGTCACGAAATCGCCTACCATGTGGATTCAGTGAGTTGGAACACACGTTCGGGAAAATTGATCGCTGAGTAAAACACGGCAGATGGCTGTATTCGGTCCTGGGAGGAGGGAGATCGTATTTGTCCTGAAGAAAAATTCTTCCAACTGTTGATGTTTCCGGTTTCACGAATGCTAAACAGGGCTCGCATTGATGCTGAGGAAAATACGACCCTCCTGATTCCTCCTTCAACAACGAAATACTAGCTTCAAGTACCAGAAATAAATAGTCTTTGCATAGAACGTTGGCGAACCAGGGGGGAGGGGGACGGGAACGACCGAGAAAAGTTTTCCAAAACGCAAATATTTCTCCCAAAGGCAAATAAGACCCCCTTCCCAACAAGCAAGCAACTACGACCTCCCCCCCCTTCTGGAAGGATCAAAGACGACTCCCGCTGGGGACTCCCCAGCGTAGGGAGTGGTCTGGTGCTATCTGTCCCCATAGTCGATAATTCATCATAACCGCTAATTCTAATAGTTGATAGGGGGTCACTGCTCTCCTCCTGCCTGCCTCCCACTCCCTCCAATTCATAAGGCAAATTCTGGAAAAATTTGGTACATGGTATGTAGGTTGTGCGAAGGGGGTCGTATTTGGGAAGAAATTCCACACAACCCGGCGACGTGCACTGCCTATGATCTTGAGGGTGCCTTTATGTGCTCATCATAGTACTTACCTTCCCACTCGGTCGGCCTTTTCATGTTTAATAGTGTTCTTTCAGCTTGCACGAGAAAAGCCCAGTTTGTCGTGAATATCGACAATACGTTCACTACCACCACTTGCACAACAAACTCTGCTGATCCGAGGGATCGCTGCTCTGCATGCTGTCAAGCTCGTGCTCTTGCTGCCGGTCTCTCAACTGTACGTTCTGCCATTTTTTCACACGTGCTCCCTCCTATGAATATAGTGTCCAGTCCTCGGTTGTTATTCCAGACTGATGCCGCCGGCTTCCCTTCGACCAATGGCGTTGACTGCGTTTGCTGCACGAACAACCCTTGCCGATAAGAAAAGACGACAGAGCCGTATAACAAAACGATACATATATGATGTCGATAGTCTCGCATTCATTCTCAACTTCCCGGTGAATAAAATGTATTTTATCTTGAAGCATTGTATTTTGTATTTTACCTTCAAAGGAGAGCAGTTTATTGACAGAAGTCTACGGCTACTGGATTTCATGTTGCGGAAGGAAGACCTCATTATTTGTAGTGATCTTCATCGCGCTGGCTAGAGATTCAACTAGAAACAAAGAAAAACAAATATTGGGGAAAGGAATACACTCACATCACAGATGATCCGTTTCGCCCGTTATCGTAGACGAATCATCGATGTCTTACCAACCCCCGGGCTCCTCAGTACGATAGAGTTGAGACATGGACATGGACTACATAGGGGAAGGAGTTAAGAAAAGGATATAGCGAGAAAAAATGCAAAAAAGTTGACATGCAAAATCCATGCAATAAAGATGAGAAGGAACTGTGCAAGGTAAATGAAAGAAGGATATAACCGGTGTGAGTACAAGATTGGTGTAAGAGGAAGAAAAATGGATTGTTGTAGATGGGTCAAATGGGCTGAAACAAAGCTATAGTAATAATGAGTACAAAGACCACGTGCCGCAGCGGGAATTCGAAAAGGTTAAGATCAAAAAAAATTTTGTGGTAAAATGAGCTAGTGTTGAACACCTAACCAGTCTACTTATCTTTTTATAGTTATTTGCAATAGAGTATTTGTAACCTATAAATTTATTTTTGTAAATACATTTCACAATGCTAGTAATAATAAATTCTTCTTCGTAGCCATTTTTCGAAAGAGTAGTGACCATATCCGTTATTTTGCTTAACGAATACATTGAAGAAAGAACTGCTACAGTGGTGCTCTGATGGAGTTTGAAGTGCGCAGCTTGACTTTGGCCCGCGTCGCCCACCGTGTGGTGACCTTGTAAAACTCTGTGAACTATCAAACTAGCTGGCTTCAATACGGCGGCACGTAGCTCGATGCCCGTTTTGGGGAAATTTTACTTGAACGGTTCTGTTCACCTGACCCACATTCCCTGTATTTACAATACATTCGGGCCCAGCAAAATCAAGAATGGCGCGAACAGAGTCTTCCGAAAATCCAGTTTCCATTTCAGGAAGCCCAAATTTGGTGTGAAATGCATGCTTGATTGTCAGTTTAAGCAGGAGGGGTTAATTGGACCCTCTTCGAGGGGGGGGTCGTACTCACACCGCCATTCGCACATACCCTGATTGCCACTACGTTGGATGGCTAATAGCAAAGCAATGAGAAATTAGGGGAACATATACAGGGGGGAGCGTCATTTTGCTCAGGCGCTTAAGTTACACTTATTAAATTTATACGCGAGACCATTTTTTACACAATATTAAGAGCACATTAAATACTATAATGATACTCCGCCACAGCCTTCTGGAGGAGCGCCATCGAGAGATTCGGCCGCGCGAAAGTGAGTGGGTACCGGAGTTGAGCGAGATCGTTGATTTCTCCGCCACTGTAGACCACCCCTGTTGAGCTCCGCCCGAACTAGGTAATTGAGTGGGTTCAGGTCAGGGGACATATATTAATATTACATCTTCATCAGGTACGGAACGCCCCTTCCCATTCGATAAGTAGGCGGGGGGTTTATTTTCCAAAAACCACTTCGTTCATGTGGTGGCACCAACGTGTTAGCGCCAGGTACTCCAAGAAAGGTACGGGCGAAAACAAACCCAACAATGTAAGCAGGAGGAATAAATCCTTCTCGAGTTACTTGATGTAACCGCCAGCGCTCACCTTCAGTCGGGGTCTACAAAGAAAATATCGTCTTCCTCTTCAGTAGGTACGGCCGGTCCACACCATCAACCCGCGCCTTGGTGAATGGGGTGAAGATGATGTCCTGGACCGTAGCGACGTTGCCGGAGCTGCTCGATGTTTGCAGATCAAGAGTACTGGTCTCCAGGTAGCTATCCATGGGTGATTCCATTCAAGAAGTTCCGCAGCTGTTTGGAGGCCCACGTGTCGAGCCGTTCCTCTACTAGGCGCGACTGGTGACATTCATTTTTGGTTACATGAAGGTGAATGGCGCGCCCGCTCTGATATAAGAGGGAAGAATCTGAGTATCTCCGCCCCCCATGGTACTCAAATATCCCACTTCCTCTGTTGGGCTTAGCGAAAACTTCGCTCATTGTTATCGGCGGTGACTTTTTTTTGGGAAACAGCCCCGTTAATAATGCTAACACATGCTTGTGTTCGGTGGGAGCTCAACACAAGTGGAACCAAATTAACAAATTCCTCCCTCAATACCAAGAACTTTCCTCAATTGGAGTTTATCTTAGCTTTGCCTGTAGAAAATCACAACACGGTTGTACACGCTATCGACGCCAAGCTGTACACCAAAGATAGCTTCTGTGACTTATGTGAAGCGGTAGGAAGGTAGCATTTAGAGCTATTTATGGTAGAGCAAGTTTAACAGGTTTTACAGAGCATGCCTATGCGAGCTGAGTGCTTTCCACGCACCACTAAGCCGATTCTGCGGAGGAGTAAAGGATAGTCAATTTGCTTGAAAACTAAAGGTCCAATACTCATAATAGGTAGAAACGCTACAATGCGATTGATCCTTCTTGCCATGACACTACGAACACAGTGGAAAATGAGGTCTATCCGGAGTGGTTTATAATTCAGAAGCCAATCGGTATTTCTTTATATTTTGCAAGAGATTGGTTTGGCCAAAGTAATTAGTTTCAAGCTTTACATCGACTGAAATAATATAAACAATGCTCCTGTAGCGCAGCGGACCGCGGCTGGCCGGAACAAGGACGAAGCTCGCAGTAAAAAGAGAAATTGTAACTTGTATCTCGCCAAAATTCTTGGCTTTCGCCGCGATCGCTAGACCACATTGAAATCTGGATACTAGAGCTCCAGAAAATAAAGCCTTGTTCATCTTCAACATTCATGCGACTTGCCGCGACTGATCAGACAACTTTGGCTCCGTAACCGTTTCCCGCTGATCTACCGAGGCATATAAAAGCGGATACACTTGCTTTCATTCGTCTCAGTACTGTCCTTGGTTTTCGCTGCTGTTACTTTTATACTACTTCAAGAAACTCCTCTGAACCTCATAACTTTCCTCATTCAGGCTACTGCTCTGCTCACGCCACGAGCAAGAGCATTAAGTTGAGGAGTGATCTCGTAGGTAACTCTGACCTTAGGCGTGGCTGCTGTGCAGCCGGAAGCTTGTCTGAATGCATAGCGTGTATAATGCCTGAGTCGGGTACTTCGTTGATACTCCATGTTCCCTGGAGTGTAAGCGTACCCGTGTGGTACGGGAGGGGTACCTTTGCTTCGAAACTCTTGCGAAATGTTTTTTCGAATAAGTTCTTCATAAAACCAGCTAGAAGGCAAGGAAAAAAGTTGTTGCCACACAACTTTTTCGGCCGCGCGGCGACTCTAAAGTGCGGCCTTATACCCGGCATGGTGCGTAACACAGTCACTATTCAGTGTACAATATTCAACGGTACTTCCTCATTCCGGTTTAGGCATCCCCTGTCTGCACACTTTTCTCACGCCATCGGACAAGCTTTCCATATTATTGGTCATGTAATAATAAAATAACTTATTGCAGTGATGTTTCGCGCGGTTGTTTTCTGTTGCCTTCTGGTAGTCATCTTAGCCCGGACATCGTCACGGAATCGCCTGCCATGCGGATTCAGTGAGTAGGCACTTTTATTTTCTAGGCTCAGTTCCCAATGCTGCGTGAAGCCAGCAGGGGGATCGCATTCGGGTATGTGACAAGGCAATCGTTATATGCCGCGCGGACAGACGAGTTGTCCGGTCTAGCCGTTCAAAATTGAGGGTTCAAGGAAGGTAACTTCTGAATTCTGTACCACTCGTCACGAAGTCTTGTCTCGGTTGAATTCAGTTCGCTGCTCCAACCGACGAACTGACGCGAATCGGGTATTTGTCGTGCATTGTAGCACGATACGCGCGCGCGAAGAAGCGACAAGGCACGGATGTTTTGTCCGTCTCCCATAGTTTTGGCATATAGGAAAAATTTCAATTATTGATATCCCAGTTTCAAGAGCGTTATATGTACCCTTAGTCAGAAGACACTACTGGTGGTTGGAAGGTGCCTGCCCTCGCCCATGCATCCTTCACACACCTAGGCAAATTTTTAGGAAAATTCGGTGTTGGGGTGTCTATGTTGTGAAAAGGGTCGTATCCTCCAACCATTTACACAACACTGACGTGCCTTAGTTACGACCCGAGGAGTGTCTTTACGAACATAACATTTACTTACTCATTCTCGGTCTTTTTATGGTTTACGGGGTATTTCAGGTTGCACGAGAAATGCTCAGTTTGTCGTGAACATCGACGGTGTTTCTACTACCACCACTTGCACAACAAACTCTGCAGATCCAAGGGATCGCTGCTATGCCTGTTGTCAGGCTCGAGCTCTTGCTGCAGGCCTCTCAGCTGTAAGTTCTGCCACATTTTCACAACAGATCGCTTCAATGTGTGAGTACCAATGTTTATTCCTGGTCATTGTTCCAGACTGATGCCGGAGGATTCCCTTCGACTAATGGCGTTGACTGCGTTTGCTGCACGAACAACCGCTGCCCCCCTGCCGATAAGGAAAAGCGATAGAGCAGTACTCGCTCTACAACAGAACGATACAGATGGCCAATTAATTATGCCTATAGTCTCGCATTAATACTTAACTTCCCGGTGAATAAAATATATTTTACTTCGAGTTCAAAATAGAGCAACTTAACCAAAAATAATGGGTAGCATGTCAGGTGGATGGCAAGGCACGATGGTAGAATTGAGTGAGCAAGAATTACCATGGAACACCTTGTCTTCAGCTATTCGGTTTCATTGATCTGGGACAGGAAAAGCACTTTTTGGTGATGATCTTCATCATACTGACCAACGATTCAGTACTCGCCACATGCACTCGATTGAGCCAAGATGCAGGATTTTCGGTCGCTTCATCAACGGTTGCCCTTGTGTATTGGACTAGTTATTCATGAGCAGGGTACAGCATCGCGGTGTGTGAAATAGTGG